TAATTAAACAAGAGGAGTTTCACAGACAGCTTGCTAATCAAGCGTCAATAAACAACTGATAAGAACTGCACCTTTTCATCTCTGACAAATACCAGACTACCACTTACCCAGCCACCCGAACTCAAGCAACAAACAAATTTACATCCGAAAAGCCAATGCCAGACACCACTTAACATGTACTTAAGAACCACTAACGTGTATAAAAAGAGACACTGACTTCATTTCGGTGTGTGCCTTGGCAGGGCACTGCCCTCCAGGCCACCCAGCCCTGTTTTGCTTTATTATCGCTTGCTTAATAAATTTATCAATGTTTAATTGGAATTGAGTTGTCTAAATTCTTATACTAACTTATAACAAAGGTGAGGCCGCACCAGCCCAGAGGGGAGCAGGACAATCCCCTCCCTCCACCAGCCGGCAATGCTGGGCCTGATGCACACATACATCTCCTTGGGGATAAACCTTCCCAGCATTGGATGGGCAACTGGAATCAAACCATTTAGGCAAATTCTCTTCTCCCTTCCACCTCTCAAGCCTTTCTGTTAGTTTGTTTTGGTAAGTTGGTGTTTGTGTTTCTCTTTTGCTTGCTTGCTTGGTTGGTTTAATCGAGTTCCCAACCTTCTTTTCCCCTCCCAGCAGCCTGTGACACAAATGCCTTCGCACACAGGCCGGGCACAGAGCTGGGCACAGGAGCTGGGCACAGCCTGGAGCTGGCTCTCCCGCTGGCTGTGCCAGGGCCAGCAGGGACCCGGCCCGGGGCAGGAATTCCCGGCGCTGCCCGAGGCCAGCGACGGCCGCGCACGAGGCAGCCCCGGCGCAGGACGGGCCCTTCCTCAAGGAGTCCCGGCTCCCTCGGGATGGGATGGGATGGGATGAGATGGGATGGGATGGGATGGGATGGGATGGGATGGGATGGGATGGGATGGGCCGTGCCAGCCCGGCCTCCCGCCCGCTGCCCCGCCCTCCAACACCCTGTGCTCAAAAACAAGGGGCACTGCCGGCATTTAGGCAAGAACACACCTGAAACTCCTTCCCCAGAGATGCTTCTGCCTTCCCACAGAATCACAGCATTTTTAGGATTATAAGTAACCTCGGGAGATTGTCTAGGCCAGCCTCCCTGCCAAGGCAGGCTCCCCCAGAGGAGACTCCACAGGAACCTGTCCTTGTGCGCTTTGAAGTCTCCAGAGAGGGAGATTCCAGGACCTCCCTGGGCAGCCTGCTCCAGTGCTCTGCCACCCTCAACATAAAGAAGTTCTTCCTCATGTTGAGCTGGAACTTTGCTGCTTTAGTTTATGGTCATTGCTTCTCGTCCTGTTGCTGGGCACCACTGGAGAGGCATCAATGAAATCCCCTCTCAGTCTTCTTTAGGCTAAACAGGCCCAGCTCCCGCAGTCTCTCATCAGAAGAGAGATGCTCCAGACTCATCATCATCTTCCCCTCACCTGATGCTGCAGCCTGTGCTTGTTCTGAATTAGAGCAGGAGGATGGGTGGGGTAACAAGAAGAAAGCAGCAGAAGAAAATTCCACTGCACTTCAAAATATCAGAGACTGCTTCTCCTTCTGGCTGACAGGCATTGACTGCAATGAATCTATCTTCAGGAGGGGACATTTAGAAAATGTCACTTATATAGTCACCTGTCTAGAGGCAATGAAAAAAAACATCTGATCCAAAGGAATATATTGCAGTATAGAATAAAGCAGTACAGAATAAAGACAGATCTTGTTGCACAGGGCATCATGTCTGCCAAAGAGCCCCTTCCTGCCTAAGCATACCACCTCCAAAACAGACTTCTTTGTTGTGCATAGCCACTTCTGATCAGCAATAAATGGCTGCCTGCTCTGTCCACTCAGCCACCCAAGGACCTCAGAAGGCAAGAGGTTGTAGAGGCCGTGGTCAGCTGGTCCAGCATTTGCAGAGTCATTTCAGGTCAGCCTTACCACTATGGCCTGTGATCTTCAGGGGACAAAAGCCATGCCAAAGCAGTGCTTACAGAGGACTTTCTCTGAAGAATTGATGGGCTCCCGTTTTCCCTGTTTTGGGGGTAGTGTTGCTGCACTCCCAGCCTTCAGAAGCCATGCAGCCTTGCTGTTGGAGAATCATCGGCTAAGGCACCAGGCAACGAGAGCGGGGGCTTTGTCTGGCAAAGGAAACCCCAGTGTTTCTTTTCATTAAGGGTAAACATGCCACTTGCAAGTGCCTTTCTGCAGCTAAGTGCTCTGAAGAGGTGAGGATTTTAAAGACAGCTGAAACTTCACATGTGGGAACTGCGGGAGCAATTCACAGGAGTGAATGACTTTGGCTGGATGTGATGATAACTGGCCACCTCACTAGTTTTCACCAAAATGAAAGGCCAAGTCTCCAGGAGAGGAGAGGGAACAAATCCCCAGTGTTTGTGATAAAACTGTGAGATTTGGCAACATTGCCAACTGCTGTGTTGATAATTGGAAGGTCTTGCTCTGCAGGTGGGATCCGGGCCGTGATCCAGGCGGACATGGCCTGCACACATGGGCATGCACTGCAGGGAGACTGGTGTAACTGGCTGTTCTCTTGATGCTGATGCTACCAATTGCACCTGCTTGGGCTGATGACTTGTTGTGCTAAGAGATCTGAAGCTGTACTGGGAAGTTGGAGCCTTAAATCTCTTTTTGTATGTTTTGTGATGCAAGTCTTGGGGAAGAAGGTGAAACACCAACACCACAGTCGCACAAGGGAACCTGTGCAGGAAGAAAAGATTGAGGTCTGAATTGCAGAGTGTGGGAAGGTAATACAAAGAGGGTTGTCCAGCAGCAGAGGAGAGTCCCTTGATGTCTGCACTACATCACCAGAAAAACAAGCTAAGCCCTAAATCCTTCTTCCAGGGAAGGGTAGAGCTCATTTCCACATGAATTCCGTGCCCTTTCTTTCCTTCAATGGTCATTCCTTTATTTTCTTGTTTAAAATGGGTCCTGCTTTTAGCTCTAGATTTTGATAGAGACCCATTGCCTCTTATTTTCCTGGGCAGGTGTCAGTCCAAATGTCTGCACGTCATCTTCCAGGTAGCATGGCATCTTGGGGCACCTCTGTGAGGCTGCGGCTGCGATTGTGATGTCACTGGCACCATTGTCCTGGGGCACGGACCGTTGTCCCGGTGCAGGGATTTGTTGTCCCGGTACAGGGACCATTGTCCTGCTGCACGGACTGTTGTCCTGGCGCTCGGACCTTTGTCCTGCTGCCCGGAAGGCTCCGTGTGCAGAGCGTGTTTGGCGTGCTCCTGGCAAGAGGCTGCTCCTGATCGAGGCCCTCGCCTCCAGCAGGCTGCACCTTGACACCAGGGGTGTCCTTTTCTCCCTTGGCGGGCACAGGCTGCGCAACTCTTGCCCAGCATGGCTAAAGTGTTGCGCAGAGTCTGTGCCGCCTTTCGCCGGGTTTTTCCCGTGGCCTACGCTTTTTGTTCCCACCCGGACAAACCCGGGCTGCTGACCCATCTAGCAAGTAAGTCGAGGGTTTTCCTCTGCCTTTGGGATCAAGGTGCTGTTCATGCTCTCCCTTAGTGACTGCATTGCCTTGGAAAGCAAAATGCCCCGCAGACACCGTGGCTTTGGGAAAGCTCACGGCAAGAGCTTCAGCCGCCGAGGGGGTGTGTCCAGCCCTTCCTCGGGGTGTGGGCAGCATTTGGAGTTGAACCCGCAGGGTTGTGCTCCCTGCCCGGCTTAGTCCGTGGCAGTGCAGTCTGGAATTGCCTGCTTTGCTGCTTCAGCCAATAGAGCTTCCCAAATCCAGACTGGCTGAGCTCCTGAGAGGTCCCTCTAAAGACTGAGCAGTTCTCTGCAGTTCTTTCCTAAATTCCATCCTGGAAAGCTTGGAGGGTCTGGCTTGACACAACGTTTCCTTAAAGAGCTGTTCCTTTGGGGCTGAAATGCAAAGCTGAAGGCAGTGTGTGCTGCCAAAGATGGGAGCTGTTAGTGTGCTGTGTGAGAATAGAAGGGTGATGGCTAGAGGGCAACTTGCTTTTCCCCAGCTTTACTGGGGAAAAGGAGAGGGAGAGGAGAGGGAGAGGAGAGGGAGAGGAAAGGGAGAGGAGAGGCGAACTGTTGCTACTGAAGGGATGTTGTGAAAGAAAAATACTCTCCATTTGGGTTGACTTGTTCCACGGCATTCCCCACAACAGCCACTTTTCTAACATCTACTTCCTTTGCCCACTGCAGGCCAGTACGTGTTTAGACGCAGAAGAGCCCGTCCTTCGGTGAGTGACAAAGTAACCTTGGACGTTCCTCGCCTTTCAGAATTGGTCAGAAAGCAGCTGCAAGGGAGTGCCAGCTCTCCAGGCTGAAAGAAAGTCTTCTTCAGGGTCTTTGCATCAGCAGAAAAGGTTTCCCTGGCTGTCCAATTTTAATTTTCACTTGCAGGGCTTTAAAGTAGATGACAGTCTGGTTTGCAGGCAGAAAACTTTCTTGCTGCTTTTAGCCATGCTGGAACAACAAGAGTTCCCAACAAGATGCAGTGCTGTCTAATTAGCCAGCCCCCTTGAATTTACTTTTAGCCACTTAGAATCCCCCTGCTAGCAAAGGGGAGGAGTTCTCCTCAGTACAGCTGGAGAGAGAGCTGCAGAGAAAGAAGGTTCTAAATGAGCTGCAACTCCCTGTCCCTCACGCTGCTGTCTCTCCACAGAGGACACCACCAGCAGCTGACCCTCCTCGGGCTCCTTCTCTGTCCTCACTCTATGAGGATGAAGAGGAGGAAGACAACAACGAAGCTCCAGCTGTTGTTGCACCAGAGCCTGAACATCCAAAATCAGTAGGAGCCAGCTTTGGTTGGGGCTCTGAGAAGGGCTGGGACTTCAGGGCTCTTCCCTAAAGGCTGAACTACTGATGGGAAGGATCCCTGCAAGCCTCCTTTCTGACACCAACTGATTTCTTGTCACAGATCAGCGCAGGCTCTGGAACAAAATCTGCCCCTGCCCCAGAATCCGAATACTCGGAAGCTGCTGAGGAAGCCGACACTCCCAGCCCCTGAGATCTCCTACATGAGCACTCCCAGCAGCTCCTACAGCAGCACCTACTGGCAGCAAAAGAGGGCAGACGAGGAGAGCCTGGAGAAACTGAGTAGGTCTTCTGCCTTCCTTGCCTGAGAGGGCAGTGCTAATGTTCCGGGACAGCAAACGCTTGCCTCCCTACCTGTTCTTTTCTGTCTCCTCACAATGTTTCTCCCTCTTTCTCTCCGTTTCCTGGGAGAAAGGGAACTCTTCAAAGCACAGTAGGAAACCAGTCTTTGTGGAAGCCATCTGGGCTACACATCTGCCTCTCTTGTTGTCAGTGTCGTCGTCGTCGTCGTCGTCGTTGTTGTTGTTCCCCAAGTGACTTCAGCTCCCAGCCCCAGGCAGAGGAGCGGCAGTCCTGGTCTGCTGGAGGGTGGCATCTTCATTTGGAAGTGACCATCTGTCATTTGCTTGCTTTCAGGGAGTGTTGTGAGTGTGGGAGATCCTAGGAAGATCTACCTTGAATGGGCAAAAATTGACAGTGGGTAAGTCTGACCACAGTTCCTTCGACAAACCCCGGGATTTTGCCGGGGCAAGGTCAGCCAGGAAGTCAGACAAGCTCCAAAGGTGTTCAGACACTGGGTTTAGATCCTCCTGCCTCTCAGTCCTGATCCCCATTTAGAACCGTGGTCAGAGGGCATCCTCCAAGACAACTGCGTGCTGGCGGTGTCTTGCCTGCAGCAAGAAGCAGGACCTGCAAGATCTCCTGTCCTTCCAGTGCCCCGCCCCTCTTTGATGCTTTTCTTGGGAGAAATGATGGCTCTGTGTCTCCAAATCGTACAGCCAAGGGAAAGAAAGGAGAAAGAAACTTTCTTGCCTCAAAGAGCAACCCAGCACCTGAGAGCTGTCAGATCACAGTTCTCAGGAACTTCAAATATATGGCTGAGAACAATCTTCCCTGCTCCTCAGGAGTAGAACCACATGGTTTAGACATGGAAAACATTCCTTTCTTTGCTGCTCTTTCCTTTCTAGGGCTTTCGGAACCGTCTATAGAGTGACCGACAGTGCCACAGGAGGAGAGGTAAGTGTCAACGTTCCCAGCAGGTTTTGCAGTTCTCCAGTGCTTTCCACTCTGGGCCGAGCTGTGGCTGGAGCTTTGGGTCCCCAGCAGATCTTTCCTGCAAAGGCTGTTCCTCTGGAGCGCAGACCGGTGCCAGCCTACCAAATCCATTTGGGACAGCCCTTTGGGGCTCCAGCTTGGGATTTCTGAATTGTCAGCATTTCTGGCTGTCAGCAAGCACATCGCAATCTTCTGGGGAGTTTCTCATCCCCAGGCAGTGCTGGGCTTTGGAACTTGCATGGAGGTCTAGCAGGGACCAAAAAACCCCAAGCCTTGCTCCTAACCCACAGCGTGTCCATCAAGTGCCCGTGAGCATCTGATTTGTCTTTCAAGCCAGGAAACAACTGCAAATCTAAGCTGTGTTTTCTTTAGAGTTGCCAAATCAAAATTTGTTCAGATCTGGGGCAAGAGACTTCCCAAGGTCATGGTTTTCCGTGTCCTTTCAGGTGGCCATAAAGCAAGTTTATCTCCACAAGCAGCGCAGAAAGGAACAAATTGTCGATGAGCTCATGATCATGAGGGACAATAAACATCCAAATCTGGTCAACTATTTGGACAGGTAGGGAGTTGTGGTATGACCACGTGACTGCTCCTTTACAGACTGCAAGCCAAAGGTTGAAAGCACCCCCTGTGGTCTCTGGCAGAGAAGTCAGCTTTTTCTTCTTATTTTTCATCTGTTCCTATACAATGTCTGGGAGGAGAGTGCATTTTGTCGGCATTCACCTTTTCGGACAGGCATTGTTTCAAGTCATCTCTATCTTCCTAAAACAACAGCCTGTACGTTCCCAACCTCCAGGTGGTTTTGTTGTTTGTTTGGGGGTTGTCTTTAAGTTTCATACACTTTTTTCAATCTCTTATGATCACAAGTGCGGAGAAATCATCATGGAAATGATTTCTCTGCATTTTTCCCTCCCTTGCCATCTGAGACATCTCAGTTTTCACAGATGTGCCTTTCTCGCTCAGACTCCACAGATTCCAAGGAGTGTATAGGCGAGGAGGAATGTCTCTGCCTTTTCTTCTGTGTCCATTCCCAAGTCTTCCAGGGACAGAAATCAGTTCTAGTCTCTGAAGTCGAGTAATTTAGCTATGCCCATTCTCCATGCCATTCTTTTCTTCTTTCAGCTACTTGCTTGGAGATAAACTGCTGATAGTGATGGAATACGTAGACGGAGGCCCCTTAAGCGCTGTGGTTAAGGAAATACGTCTGGAGGAAGGACTGATGGCAGCTGTCTCCCGGGAGGTAAGGGATGCCACTGCTGCTTCCAGTTCTTTGGGCAGGCTGGCACTTCTCAACAAGTGGTGAGAACAGGAGTGATTTCACCTTCAGAGCTTTGTTTCCATGTTGCTTTTCTGAGATGGAGAAGAAAGAGCACCTTTGCTGAATGGTCTCCTCTGGATGGAGAGAGCCCGTGCACTGCAGCAGCACTCATTTTCTCTGGGTCTGCAGGGCGTGCGCTGTGACAACAATTGCCATTTCGCTTTGCAAAGCTCCAGAGCTCCTATGCCTTCCCTCAGAAAGATGGGGGTTTACTAGGCAGGAAGCAACAAGCTCTTCCTCTTGGCAGCACCACGTTCTGCCAGTCCTTCCCGTTCCCCTAGAACGAAAAGCTTGAAAGCCATTTCTTTCTTGGGGGATGAAATGGGGTCATTCCTTGTTACTCTCCTCTTTCTTTTTTCTCTCGCAGTGCCTTCAAGCACTAGCGTTCCTCCACTGCCACCAGGTGATCCACAGGGATGTCAAAGGCGACAACCTTCTCCTGGGAATGGATGGATCCGTCAAGTTGGGTAGGTGTTCTCGGTCAGGCCCGCTGTTCCCGGCATGCGGCGCGTGGGGCTGCTGGAGCCTGACTGCCAGTTCCCAAAAAGCGGTGCCTGTGGCAGTGCAGGCAGCACGGCTGCAGGCTGAGAGCACACTTGCAACGTGCAGAGGGGAACGAGGTGTCCTCGGCTACAGCCCTGAGGAAACACAGCACGGCCGCTTTGCCAGCCTACATTCAGCCTCCTCAGGCTTCCAGAGGGGAATTCTTGCACTTGGCTTCAGGACTCAGGCTGCCTTTCATGAGACTGCCTTTTGTCCTCAGCTGACTTTGGTCTCGCTGCTCGCGTCACACCTGAGCAGAGCAAGCGAAGCTCTCTCGTTGGGACACCTCACTGGATGGCACCCGAATACGTCACGAGAGAGGAATACGGATCCAAAGTGGACATCTGGGCACTCGGCATCGTGGTGATTGAAATGCTAGAAGGAGAGCCTCCTTATTTTTGGGAAAATCCTCACAGGGTAAGGCGCAAATACCCCCAGATAACCACTGTCTTTCTAATCTGTCCCATGTTTGGCCTCCCATGAGAAAACATCCCATTCCCACCAGCTTGGACTAGTTCAACCAAGCCCCATCCCTCAAAAAAAGGCTCTGGAGCACATCGGCATCTACTAGAGCTTTAGTTGCATCAACCTTGAAAAGAACCGGAAAAAAAGCCTCTAAAGTCAATCCTCAGAGAAGCAAAATGTGCTTTTGCCGATGGTGTTCCTACTGACTTGGTCGGCCGATGAAATCGGCTCTCAAGGCAAGACCCTTTGGATGTTGGAAAAGCTGTGGCTGCATCAGGGTCTTTTTCTCAGTTAGAAAACTCATTTTGAACCCTCTGCCAGGCAACAAAGTGCCACTGCAGGATGGAGGCTCAAAACTGGGGTCTGTGTGAGCAGTTAGGCATAGGAAAGAAAGAGGTAAAGTCCGGTCTTTCCTCTTCCTCCAGGCCCTGCGTCTCATCGCCTCCGAGGGGATACCGGAGCTGCCAAACCAGCAGGAACTGTCCCCTGCCCTGCAGGACTTTCTGAGCTGCTGCTTGCAGACAGACGAGGACAGTCGAGGCTCTGCTGAGGAACTTCTGCAGGTAAAATGGCTGCAAGGGACACAACTGTCCCATGCGTGGGTGTTCTCATCTGCTAAACTCCAAGCCATCAGCTGCACCCCCCCTCGCATTAATCCTCTGATCCTTTTGGTGGCCCTGGTTTGTATCTAAGGCAGCAGGAGCCGTTTTCTCTGCTTCGTAATCTCGGGAAGGGAGCCCTGAAATGGTGCTGCTGGTGGAGGAACCCAAGCAAATCAGTCCCTGCCAAGTGGTGCCAGAACTTGGCTGTGCTGAGGAAGGGGCTGTGGGGAGCTCCCTGTCAGCATCATCCCTGCTGCCCCACTCCTGGAGCTTTCTGCCACCCAGCTGCCCCAATTCAGTGGCTTCTGCCACCAAAACAGCGACAGCTGAGCAGGACTTGTCCCAGCCCCATTTGCTGCCTGGCACAGGCAAGGAGATGGGAACTCCTCCAGGGCTGCTGCCAGCTCTGCTGGCAGAGAGGGAGCTGCTGAATGTGCCACTCGACTGTCCCTGCTGGGAAGGAAGGGGCCAGCCAGCACGGCAGGGGCAGGATAGACACTGCTCTCACTGCAAGCAGAGCTGAGCCCATCAGCCCTCCACCACTTGTCTCCCCGCTCTTGTTCTGGTGCTGAAAACCTGCACCTCCGTGCTCTTCAGAACAGCACGTCAGCCCAAATGCTACTGGGAGAAACATTTCTTGAGTTTCCTCAGGAGCAGCTTCTGCTCCTCATCTTTTTGGATGGGCCACTCGAGTAGCCCATGTCTTTAAGAAAGAGGAACCTGAGGAAGTCTTTTGAGTTTCCTGGAAGGACCAAAGCCCCGGGACAGCAAGCAGCATTCCCACAGCCCTGGCAGGGCAAAGTTCCCATCGAGATGAAGACACCTTGAGAAATGGGTTCATAGGATTATGTTTGCCTGTGAGAACCAGGTCCTGGGCATGAAGGCAGAGGTGCAGATGCTCCCCTCAGTCCTGTTTCTGCCTGTTTCTGGTAACCCGAGGAATACTGCTTGAGCTCGCGAGGAACCGAGTTTGGAAAGGAATGGTTCATTTCTTTTCTTTTCTTTTCCTTTGGGCAGCATCCATTTTTACTCTCAGCCAAGCCCCTCTCTGGTCTGACAGCTCTGATCAATGCAGCAAAGCAGCTGATGGAGAGCAGGAGATGTAATGCTTCTGGGATGCCTTCCTCCAGTTCCAGCGACGGGTGGCACTCAGAAGAAAACTGAAGAAGTGTCCTCCCCACTGGATCCACTGGGGGAGTGACACAGAAGAGGGGGCGCTTAGGGGGCCATTAGCTTTTTACTACTATTACAGTTAGTAATTGAATTAGTATTAGTATTAGTATTAGTGTTAGGATTCATATTCCTACTGTATTTTACTCTTTTTCAATTAATAAACTGTTCTTATCTCAACCGACGAGTTTTACTTTTGATTTTCTTCCCTGTTCCACTTGGAATGGGAATGGGGAAGGGAATGCAGATGAGGATGGGGATGGGGATGGTGGGGAGCAAGCGGCTGTGTGGAGCTTAGTTACCAGCTGGGCTTAAACCACCCCAGTTCACCAGGACATAACTCTTCCAAGAGTCCAACTACTATTTTTGCCTCCCTTGTCAACACTCAGACAGGTTGTCCTCAGGACAACTGGCTTCTACAACTGAGAGACAGAGACAAGAAGCCCAATAGCCCCCTGTAATCCAGGAGGGAACAGTTAGCCACCTGCTGAGCCCCTTGGATCCTCACAAGTCTACGGGACCAGATGGGATCCATGCCAGGATGAGGAGGGAGCTGGCACAAGAGCTCGCCGAGCCGCTCACCATCCTTTCCCAACACTCCTGGCTCACTGGGGAGCTGCCAGATGATTGGAAGTTGGCCAATGCCCCCTCAAGCCACAGAAAGGGCTGCAAGGAGGACCTGGCAAACTACAGGCCTGCCAGCCTGACCTCAGTGCCTGGCAAGGTTATGGAGCAAATCATCCCAAGTGCAATCCCACAGCACCTACAGGATGGACAAGGGGTCAGAGCCAGCCAGCACGGCTTTAGGAAGGGCAGGTCCTGTCTGACCAACCTGATCTCCTTTCAGGATCAGGGCACCTGCCGGATGGATGAGGGCAAGGCTCTGGATGTGCTCTAGCTGGACTTCAGCCAAGCCTTTGACACAGTCTCCCACCGTTTCAGCCTTCTCCTGG